TATATATATATATATATATACATACATACACATACACACACACATATATATACGGCACACTGTGTGTCATGTTGCAGCCTTGCAGAGTGAAGTTTCTCTCATAAATGTGTGACTATAATGTCAGAGAATATTCAGGCTTTTTTTACTTGTAGATTAATCTCGGAAATTAAGTTCTGTCTCGGATTATTGGTCCTCATGTGCAGCTGGACCTTTACATCTTCACCATATTACACATAAAACACATGATAGAGATTTAGAGGCTCTGTCCGCCGCCTCTTTACCTTCCGTGGGAGGCGGAACCACGTCCTGTTGGGCTGTTCTGGTTCCGTGATGAGCTTAGCATTGATGCTAGCATTAGCATCATGTTCCGGTGTTACGGATCGGGACCCGGATTCTCTGCCCCCCCTGAATGTTTACAGTTTTATCGGACTCAGCGACGCGTTTGGGGGATTAAAATCAAAGCGAAACAAACGTTAGCTCTCAGCGCTACATGCTAAGTTAGCAGGCTAATGCTAACCCACATAAAGCAGACTTACAGCCGGTTCCGGTCCTGAATCCTCTCCGGGGCGGCCCAGGGTGGGGACCGAGCCGTCCTTCAGGACCAGCCGCTGACAGAACCCGGCGTCGAACTGGGGCCGGTTCACGAAGCAGTCCTCGGTGAAGTGCAGGGAGCACAGGAAGAGGTTCGGCAGGTGACCCTGCGGGATCCTGGAGAAGATGAACCTGAGCCACTGCTTCTTCAGCGCGTCCTCCTTCGGCAGGTTGTACAGCGGGAACTTACCTTTACCTTTGCACCGGAAGTAGCAGCGTCTCCTGGACATGGCGGTTTAGCTTCTGCGAGAAACGGTTCGGGTTTAGACCCAGAACCTGGAGCTGCTCTCTGTGGGGGGCGGGGTTTATGCAAATATGACAGAGTGACGTAGATCAGAAACGGGAGGAACGTGCTGGACCTCAAACATCAAACATCACGTGGTCTCCTGGAGAAACACCTGATAAAACCTGTTTTCAGGCGCGCGCTGACCACCGAGGACCTACACATTAAAAGGTACCTGTACTTTACATGCAGCTTTCTACTTCTGCTCCATCTCAGAGGGACATGTTGTACTTTTTACTTTCTGAATGAAGTTTAGGTTGAGCTGGCAGCACAGAGGAATGGAAAAGTACAGGTCTGCCCTCAGATCTTTGTAGCAAAGTGACATTTCTTCAGTGCTGAAAAGATATAATCACATGTTTACATGTAAAGTAGTGAGTGTGTAAATCTGCTGTCCCCTCAAAATAACATCACAATAATGTCTAAACCGCTGGCGACAAAAGTGAACAAACGGTGCGGTATTAGTACTTTTACTGCACTAACATTACTAACGCAGGACTTTTACCTCTAACAGAGTATTTAAACGGCGCGGTATTAGTACTTTTACTGCACTAACATTACTAACGCAGGACTTTTACCTCTAACAGAGTATTTAAACGGTGCGGTATTAGTACTTTTACTGCACTAACATTACTAACGCAGGACTTTTACCTCTAACAGAGTATTTAAACGGCGCGGTATTAGTACTTTTACTGCACTAACATTACTAACGCAGGACTTTTACCTCTAACAGAGTATTTAAACGGCGCGGTATTAGTACTTTTACTGCACTAACATTACTAACGCAGGACTTTTACCTCTAACAGAGTATTTAAACGGCGCGGTATTAGTACTTTTACTGCACTAACATTACTAACGCAGGACTTTTACCTCTTATAGAGTATTTAAACGGCGCGGTATTAGTACTTTTACTGCACTAACATTACTAACGCAGGACTTTTACCTCTAACAGAGTATTTAAACGGCGCGGTATTAGTACTTTTACTGCACTAACATTACTAACGCAGGACTTTTACCTCTAACAGAGTATTTAAACGGCGCGGTATTAGTACTTTTACTGCACTAACATTACTAACGCAGGACTTTTACCTCTAACAGAGTATTTAAACGGCGCGGTATTAGTACTTTTACTGCACTAACATTACTAACGCAGGACTTTTACCTCTAACAGAGTATTTAAACGGTGCGGTATTAGTACTTTGACTGCAGTAACATTACTAACGCAGGACTTTTACCTCTAACAGAGTATTTAAACGGCGCGGTATTAGTACTTTTACTGCACTAACATTACTAACGCAGGACTTTTACCTCTAACAGAGTATTTAAACAGTGCGGTATTAGTACTTTTACTGCAGTAACATTACTAACGCAGGACTTTTACCTCTAACAGAGTATTTAAACAGTGCGGTATTAGTACTTTTACTGCAGTAACATTACTAACGCAGGACTTTTACCTCTAACAGAGTATTTAAACGGCGCGGTATTAGTACTTTTACTGCACTAACATTACTAACGCAGGACTTTTACCTCTAACAGAGTATTTAAACGGCGCGGTATTAGTACTTTTACTGCAGTAACATTACTAACGCAGGACTTTTACCTCTAACAGAGTATTTAAACGGTGCGGTATTAGTACTTTTACTGCACTAACATTACTAACGCAGGACTTTTACCTCTAACAGAGTATTTAAATGGTGCGGTATTAGTACTTTTACTGCAGTAACATTACTAACGCAGGACTTTTACCTCTAACAGAGTATTTAAACGGCGCGGTATTAGTACTTTGACTGCAGTAACATTACTAACGCAGGACTTTTACCTCTAACAGAGTATTTAAACGGCGCGGTATTAGTACTTTTACTGCAGTAACATTACTAACGCAGGACTTTTACCTCTAACAGAGTATTTAAACGGTGCGGTATTAGTACTTTTACTGCACTAACATTACTAACGCAGGACTTTTACCTCTAACAGAGTATTTAAACGGCGCGGTATTAGTACTTTTACTGCACTAACATTACTAACGCAGGACTTTTACCTCTAACAGAGTATTTAAACGGTGCGGTATTAGTACTTTTACTGCACTAACATTACTAACGCAGGACTTTTACCTCTAACAGAGTATTTAAACGGTGCGGTATTAGTACTTTTACTGCAGTAACATTACTAACGCAGGCACGTATAAAGTGTATCAGTATCAGATCAGTGTGTATAACTACAGGGAAAAGCCCAGAAGCATAACACGACCTCTTTAATGTGTCACTTTGTGACCAAATACCTGCAAAACTGACGACATTCCCATCAGCCTCAGCTGGACTTCATCTTTACTGCTAATCAGCTAATCGATGCTATTTATTGAACAGGAGAAACAAACGTTTTTACGGCTGTAACTCAGCAGCTTTCTGTCTCTAATAAAACCTTCAAATGTCTCAAAACCTCTTATATTATCTGCAAAATGCATCATCACACAGGGCTGTTTGTCTTAGTTTATGAAAAGTTGCCATGTTTACAGCAAAGTGACAAAATGTTAGCTGACATGCTAAGATGCTGAACAGTAAAGCTGGTCTAGCTCAAAGTACGGGAGATAAAGAACACGGTCACCGTCTCTTCCATCGGTCCGTGTGTTGGATTAAAATGACGCGACACCACAACGCCCACAAACTTTGTTCCTGTAGTAATTTTTTTTATTATTCAAATGTAAAGTTTGGATTTACAGGCCCGTTGGGAACAAACTCAGGTCCTCACAGGGCTGGAAAACGAGAGGACAGAAACAAAACCACAGAGGAGTCCTGCAGACTGCGCAGCGCCTACAGCACCATCTAAAACAACAGGGTTACAATACAAATACCTGGTACATTATAACTTAAAATACTGTTTATACATCATGTCTGTACGCGCTGCACATCCTGCAGAGCGGCCGTCTGAACGGCAGACCAACACCGGGTCTCTGGTCTGAGTCTGGACCAGGATCAGGACTTCTCTCTGTTACAGGACCTGATTTAAAATCAAACAAACCGCTTCAGCGCCGACACGAGGAGACGGCGTGAGGCGGCGAGGACGATTCTGTGTAATAAAAAAAGGTGGGGCTGATTACGGCTGAACTTTATATTAAAAGGCACAGAACACTAATTTAATTCAAACTACTGCAGCGACACGTGAGCGAGCTTCCCGCCTCCAGAGAGGACGGACACGCCCCCCCTTTTTAAACACGTCCTGATTGGCAGAAAGGGTCAAAGCTCAAAAAAACAAAAAACTAAACATAATTATTCAGTTAGGTTGAATTAACTCCCACAGAGGGTCAATAAAACACAAATGAAATATTGGCATCGCTACGAAGCAGCAACACGGAGCTTTGTATACAAGCAAGCGTATTATAATAACATACCACAGACGTTACCGTAGATATTTATATATTTATATATATATATATTTAACCTGGAGGTTTCAGTTGATTGATTGTGATCGAACTTAACGTGGCTGTTTTCTGTTTGTTTGTTGGAGTTTTATGTCTTTAAAAAAGAAAAAAAACAGCCAGTCCTGAATCATTTAAGCATATATTTACACACAATTCCTCGCTCTAATGTCAGAATAAAAAACATTCACACACAACAACAAAAAATATAACATTTGAAATAATTATTAGCACCAGTGTATCAGATAAAAACTCTCGCTACGCAAAATGTACAAAGTTGCATAGTGTTGGATTGAAGCCTGGAAGAGAAAAGGTTTAGTCGTGCGTTCGGTGACGAGCAGCAGCAGCTTCTGAGAGGACGAGAGGAACCGAACGTCTGTCGTGTTACAGCGTCGGGAGAAACGTCAGCTGATTCAAAGACGGAGCCTCTGAAGCCCCGCGAAGACACGGTTTTTAATCTCGCGTGCGCGAGAACGCGGCGATAGATAACTTCACGATAAAGAGGTCGTCGTGACGTAAACATCCTCTAACCTGAACTCCAGAGCGAAATCTTCTGGGAACAAGACGCGTGAGATTTTAAAACACATTTTCTGTGGACTTCAGAGGCTTCGTGTGCGCCCGCAGAGCGAGCGGCTGGAGGCGAAAATACTGCTGAGGAAAAGAAAAAGTGAAATACTTTTCCTTGCGAGAGGGTTCCTTCACTGTGTGGTTTCTGAAATACACGGTTGTGTTTGAAAAAGAAAAGACATTCAGCGAGCTCACAAGCTGTTAAACTCTGAAGTAGCCGGTGTGTCGCCAGGCATTGTGGGTAACGGCCGGTTAGACACTGCGAGCGGAGGTTCCTCCAGGAGGGAGGAGGAGCCTCCGGCGTGGTTTCCTCTTGGCGGAGCAGACGGGTGCAGTCGCGTCGGGTTTGTGGTTCTGGTTTTTCCTCCTCTCTGCGCGGCTTCTCTACGCCGCTGAGTTCATTCTGCCGTGACCACGTTACTGCGTCTTTAAAAAAAAACAACCAACCTAAAGACAAAAACAAAAAGCTGCTTCTCTCTCGTTGACACGTGGTCCGAGAAGCCGGCGTCTCTCTTGTGAAAGAAAAACAAAGACAAGAATCTGAAAACAAAAAGTAAAAAAACAAACAGTTTTGGTAAAAGTCGGCGTGTTTGCCGGAGTGTTAGATGTGAGGGGGGGCGGGGGGGGGGGGGAGGGGGAGGGCGGGGTTAAGGCCTCTCCAGGGACGGCGTGTTGAAGCAGCCGTCGGGTAACGTGTTCTTGATGTCGTTGAGGTTGGCGATGTCTGCGCGGATCTCGCGGATCTGCCGGTCGTAGTCGTTGATCATGTCCTCCTGGGTCCGCGCCACGTCGTTCAGCTCCGCCAGCTTCCTGTCCAGCTCGCTGTTGGCCATCTTGCCCTTGGCGCTCTTCAGGGACTCATCGATCTGGTTCAGTTTGCTCAGGTCCACCTTGTCGATGTTTCCTGCAGACAAAGGAGACGTCAGCCTCACCAGCACAACACGTTCTTCCTAATTTGGGGTTTGTTCGTAGGTAAGAACAGAATCTACGCACACGTTTGTGCAAAATAAGTTCCGCGCTCATTAAATTAAAATATTTCTTATGTTTTCACTCCTGAGACCGTCCAAGTTCAACAGCAGCTAATGTGTAATGTTTAATATTCTCCGCTAAACACGGCGCCGCTCGCTTCCTGCAGCTTCACTTCTGACCTACTGAAGCGCGTCGTGTTTTTGGAGTCGAGGGCTCCGCTGACGGCTTCACGACTCCGTCTCGTAGCCTTTTATGTGGATCAACGGGGTCTTAATGCTAAGTAGGAAAAAGGGGCTGTCACTTTAAGAAGACAACGAGATTCATCATTCGCGTCGTGAATCAGGAGAAGAGGAACTTTATTAAGAACACATTTAAAGAAAAACGTATGAAGATATTGTGAGAGTCCCGTGAGATGAACACGCCTCCTTCACTTTAAGGCGCTTTCACACTGCCCATTTTTCTGGGATTAATAGGCCATTATGGCGGCTCGCTGCGCTGTGTGAAAAGTACCGAGCCGGCACGCCGGAACAGGGGTCACGATTCAGGCTGTTGTGTTACCAGTCGCCGTCTTTTTATTGGTCTAAATCCACCGACTCCAGCTGCGCCACGGGTCTGTTTGGCCCCCAGCCCGGCGTCAGCGTCCACTTCATTTGGTAATCAGTGCTAGCGTTTGTGCTTCTGCTATGATTAAGTAGGCCGCGTAGTTAAATTGTTTCTTTGTCTGTTTTGACAGTGTTTATTGTTGTTTTACGATCGGGAATCTGCACAGGGTATTTTATTTTGAAAATTGACCGGATGAGCTCCGGCAGCCGCGGACTCGGTGGTAACGCGGCTCTGGTTTCACTTTCAGAGTCAGTTGCAGGTGTCGGATTACACGGACGTCTGTCTGCTGAAGCTGGTTTTTATTCGCCTCTGAACTGGATCACTTGAATGTGGAAAACTGCTAAAAACTGGTGAAAAATATATTGACCAGTTTTGGGATTTGAAAACTGTCTCAGGATCCTGCAAACGTTGCTGGAATTTACTCGGAAAATAAGCGATCCAGCACGGTATCGCTTATTAGTGTCGATACACGGACGCCAAGTGTCGATCTTTTATTTTATAAATTGTACATGAGTTTTACTTCATCATCATCGTGTCGTGGGGCCTCTGGTGATTTCCACCCCTTTGCGATGTCGCAGGACTGAATTCCTGCTGGGACTAACTTAAATGACCTTTACGCTGTCAGAACTCGGTCCACACACCCGGACTCTGCTAAACGCGAGTCCCTGTTCTCACCCAGCTGATCCAGCAGGGCGGTGATGGTGCTCAGGACCGTCTTCACGGCGCTCTTGGCCTTGCGGGCGTTGTCCTCCGCCTCCTTAGCGCTGCTCGACGCCTGCGGGACAGAAAAAGCAGCGTTGATCTCACAGGTTCCTCTGAACGGGTCTCTATCGACACAGCAGAACCGGGTCGTACCATTCCAGCCATCATCATGTCCTGGTCCGCCTCGGCCTTCTTCCTGGCCAGCTCCCGCTCCGCGGCGCTCAGCTGGTCCATCATGTCGTCGACCTCGTTGTCCAGCTTGTTGGTGTCCTGGAAGGCCTTCTCTGCGTCCTCCTTGGTCTTGGCTGAGCCCTGCGAAGAGGCGAGGAGGATTAAAAACCCGATCGATCCCCGTGGGCCGCAGACGGCAGGCCGTCGGGTCCTACCTACCTTCTGCACGTTGCTGGCGATCTTCTCGGCCTCCTCCGCCTTGTTCTTGGCCTCCCGGGCGTCGGCGGCCGCGTTGCCGAGCGCCGCCTCCGCCTGCCTGGTCTTCTCGTTGGCGGCCATGATGGTGGCGTTGATGCCGGGGATCTTCTTCAATGCTTCCTCGGCCGCGGTCTTGTTGTCGTTGACCCTCCTGTCGAAGTCTGCGGGAAGTTTGGAATGAAAGAAAATCCAGGTAAGACCAACGTCAAGACCATCAAACCTTCATGAGCGCCTGGAAACACAAACATCTTCATCTGGTCTAGTTTGACCCCCAAACGGCTTTAAAAGCCCTTAAAAACAACATTGACTTCCCCCTAAAATAGCTGATCATTATTAAACGGGGACAGTCTGTGAATTTAAGGTAAACACTTAAGGGGTCTGGTTCTCGGACAGGTTCACAGACGTCTGGTTTTAGAGGCGAGACAGAGAGACGGTACCTCTGAGGTCGTTCAGGATGCCCTCGGCCTCCTTGAAGGTGGACCGGCCCTTCTTCGCCGCCTCCTCAGCCAGAGCCTTGGCAGCGTCGGCCCGAGCCAACAGCTGATCTGCGGTCTGTCAAGACAGGAACAGGAAGCCAGAGGTGAACAGAGCGGCTGGGCGGAGCCGTTCTGACGGCGTGGGCAGGTTAAAACGTAAAAAAAGTACACACTGTAAATCCTCCACAGAAAACCTTTAGTAAAACTGAAGAGCAGCTCGTACTTACAGAAAGTAAAAGTACTCATGTTGCAGTAACGTGTCATCGCTGATGTTTCTGCATTAATAGCTCCTTTATATCCTGCAGCAATGCATCATGGTCTATAAGGTCATCATGTGTCGACCTACCTGCTGCTCACTTTTTCCCTTCTCCAGCAGCTTGCGCACTTCCTGCTCTTTGCCCTTCAGGTCGTCTCTCAGGTCGTTGTACTCCTTCTCCGTCTTGTCGATCAGCTTGTCGAGGTCCGACGCCTCCTTCTTGATCTTACTGGCTTCATTCTGAAAACACAACGGCCCGGTCACTCATCCAGGAAAACACGCGTTATAGATAAAAACATCTCACGTCAGCAGCGAGCTTCGGTCTGAACCTCCAGAGCCTTGGTGTCGAACGGCGGGAGGCTGGTCAGGTTGGCGAAGATCTTCAGAGCCTTCTCTCCGGCGTCTTCGGCCTCGGCCTGGATCTTGTTGGCCTGCTTCTCCAGATTCTTCGCCAGCTCCTTCGCCTCGTTGTACCTGATAACAGCAGATGTTACGTTCAAACGGTTCTATTAGTTAACGTGAGTCACGCCGATGCAAAGCCCCGACGGCGCCGGTACGTACTTCTTGTTGAGCTCGTCGATCTCCTGACTCGTCTTGCCCTCCCCGGCCAGAGTCTTCAGCAGCAGGTTGTACGCTTTGGTCGACGTGTCGTTGGCGTCTTTGGCAATCCTCTCGATCTGGTCGGCGTCCATCTTGTGCCTGAGGAGAGCAGGGATACGTGAGAGTGATGTCTAGGACGGGGAAACGGTGCGATACCGCAGTTTCAGCACGGCGGGAGCAGAACTCTTTATTAAATATGAACCGACAGCAGGATTATTTAAGTTCTGGACCTTTTTTAACCCGTGTTTTTGCGTCTGTGACTAAAGTGCAATTTATACTTCTGCGTCGAATCGACGGCGTAGTCTCTGCGTAGTCCTGTGCCCTACGCCAGTGGTCGGCAATAGGCGGCCCGCGGGCCAGAACCGGGCCGCCAGCAATAACATCTGCTTTGATAGCAGAAAATAAAAAATAAATAAATTGATAGCAGCTGATGCTGAAACAGATCTCAGTCTCAGCAATCACTTCCTCTTAAGTGATTGTGCCTCCAAAATAAAACTGCAAGAACATTTTTTTGCAGCAATGCTTCATGTTGAGTTTACTGAGAGCTTTTACTTTGAAAAGTTCTGAAGGACATTAGAAAGAGTCTCTGGCTTGACACACCTCTGAAAAAGCCGACAGTAAACGTGTGATTGGAGTCCCCTGAATTTCCTCAGAGAGCTGAAAATAAGCGTCCACATGTTCATGACTGAGGATCAAACGCCGGGACGCACGCTCACCGCAGCCCCGCTCTCTACCCTCTGAGCTCCTCCACGTCTCCTGACGTGTGACGTGTCTCTGCGATGGCTCTCCTCACTCATTCGAGCGGCCACGTACAGAAGACTTGAATAAAATTCACAGAAAGACAAAGCATTATAGCCAGGACATCACTGTTGGACTGTGGATTTCCTTTAGGTCCGGGACCTCGCCATGACACGGTGTACTTACAGAACGACAGAGACGGCGACGCACAAGTATAAATGTATGGCTACGACCCGACGCAGGACTATAAATCACACTTAACGGCGACAACATGTTTGGAAACTGCTCCAGCATTAAGCGAGCGCACTGCAGTCAGCAGAGGGTAAAAGTCCGTCCACTGAAGAACTTATTTTAGCTGTTGACAGGCTCAGATTGTTATTCCAAGTGTCTGACAGCATTATGAAAGGATCCCTACAGAGAGAGACCTTTTTCTAAAGAGTAAGATCCTTTTTGTTTAACCAGAAACAGACGTTATATGTAGCTCTCGTCAAAGCCGCCAGACTCCATTGATGAAAAGAGTAATTTTACGTTGCAGAAGGCAGAAGCTGCCGACCTCTAACCTCGGTGGGTTAGTTTGTTTGGGTTATTCTGTGGCTTTATTGTAAGTGTTGGTGTTTGTGACAGATCTCAGCTCTTACTTGTCGGCCAGCGTTCGGGCCTCCTCAGCCAGCAGCGTCATGTTGTTTGGATCTCCGGTGCCGCTGGGGGCTTTGATGTCCTGCGGACGACATCGTCTCCGTTAATAAGCTCACACACGCTGCTAGTTTGGTGAATATTTGCTGCGACGTCACTCACCACTTTACTGATGGCGTCCTTGGCCTTGTCCAGCTCCTGCCGGGCTCGGTCGATCAGGTTCTCGGCGTCCTGGACTCGGTGGCGTGCGCGGTCGGCCTGAGTGCCAGTGTCGTCCACCGTGCTGCGGATGTTCTGCAGGCGGTTCCACTGGGTGGTCAGAGTGCTGTTGATGGCGTTCAGACGATCCAGCAGACCTCTGTCGACATCTGCAGGGTCAAATCAGCTGGAGGAATCATTTCTATTTCATCTAAAGTTGGTATCACTTTTTCCTGTATTCTGTATGTTTCTACCTGGACTGATGTTTTTGTGTCTATGTGACTAATTAGATCATCTTTTGAAACTGAAATCCCATAAGATTATATTTTCTATCTTGTGCACACAAGTTATTATCTTGTGGGAACAAGTTGTTATCCTGTGCCCACAAAATAATTATCTTGTGTGAACAAGTTATTATCCTGGAACAAGTTGTTATCCTGTCCCTACAAAATAATTATCTTGTGTGAACAAGTTGTTATCCTGTCCCTACAAAATAATTATCTTGTGTGAACAAGTTGTTATCCTGTCCCTACAAAATAATTATCTTGTGGGAACAAGTTATTATCCTGTCCCTACAAAATAATTATCTTGTGTGAACAAGTTGTTATCCTGTCCCTACAAAATAATTATCTTGTGTGAACAAGTTATTATCCTGTCCCCACAAAATAATTATCTTGTGGGAACAAGTTGTTATCCTGGAACAAGTTATTATCCTGTCCCCACAAAATAATTATCTTGTGTGAACAAGTTATTATCCTGGAACAAGTTATTATCCTGTCCCTACAAAATAATTATCTTGTGGGAACAAGTTGTTATCCTGGAACAAGTTATTATCCTGTCCCCACAAAATAATTATCTTGTGTGAACAAGTTATTATCCTGGAACAAGTTATTATCCTGTCCCTACAAAATAATTATCTTGTGTGAACAAGTTATTATCCTGGAACAAGTTGTTATCCTGTCCCCACAAAATAATTATCCTGTGGGAACAAGTTGTTATCCTGTCCCCACAAAATAATTATCTTGTGGGAACAAGTTATTAACAAGTTGCGCACAAGATATTATCTAGTTTTTATCTTGAAAATTATCTTGTTCCCACAGGAGAATAACTTGTGCGCACAAGATAAAAAATCATCTTATGGGACTTCAGGGGATCCGTAGCAACGTGACCCTTAAAGGCAAATGTTTGTCAGATTGTTATTCCAAGTGTCTGACAGCATTGTGGAAAGGATCCATACAGAGAGGCCTTTTTTAAAGTAAGACCCTTTTTGTTTAACCAGAAACCGTCGCTATGTTGCTCTCGTCAAAGCCACCAGACTGCATTGATCAGTTTGTTTGTTTGTGTTTTATCTTTTTGTGTAACTTTGGTGTTTTTGTTTGTTTGTGTTCTGGTTTAATTTAGTTGTTTTAAAGGGTTAAAAACATCAAAGTCGCTGGTGGTATTTCACCTCTGCTCATGGCGTTTGGCTGCGTTACCTTTGCTGGCCTGAGCCTCCTCCAGCAGGTCCATGATGGCTCGCTCTGCCTCCTTCAGCCGGTCCTCGAAGGCCTTGTCGGTGACGGTGTCCTGACCCGAGCCCAGGTTATCGATCAGAGTCTGCAGGTCGTGAAGCTTCTGCCTCTGCTGGTTCACCTGCACAGAAACAACACTTTCATTTATCGTCTGCCGACCACGGGAGTCTCCGTCCGCCACAGGTAAAGCTCCTCCAATCAGTTACGTCCGTCTCAGGCGTCCTCACCTTGTCTCTGACCAGACTGTAGCAGGAAGGACACTGCTGGCAGCCCGGCGCCGAGCGGTTGTAGAAGTAATTCTCCTCGCACATGTCGCAGCGCGCTCCGACGAAGCCGGGTCGGCACTCGCAGCGCCCATCCTCCTTACACTGACCCGACTGGGCGCCCTCGGGGTCGCAGTCGCAGGCTGCAGGACACACGGAGGAGGACAGCGTTAGAAAACAGGAAACTCAAAAACACCCTGAGACACTGGTGACGTCGTCGCCCTTACGTTTGCATCCCGATGAGCTGAAGCCGAAGAAGTTGACCTCGCAGCGCTCGCAGTGCAGCCCGGTGACGCCGGGCTGACACTCGCACTGTCCCGACGTGATGTCACACTGACCGTTGGTAGAGCCAATTGGATTGCAGTTGCACCTGCGGAGGAGGAGGGGGGCACAGTTAGCGGCAGGGAAAAAGAATAAAAAAATAAAAAATAATAAACCCCCAGTCATGTGCTGGACGCCGCGAGGAGAAGAACTGACCGCTCGCAGCCGGCGCCGCTCCGCAGGTTGAAGAAGCCGGGCTGGCAGGCGCTGCAGTCGCGTTCGGCGACGTTGGGGAGACACTGGCACTGACCGGTGACCTGAGAACAGGTGGTCTGTCGCCCGACGGTGCCAAGAGGAGAACAGGAGCACGCTGAGGAGGAGGACGGGGAACCAATCAGAAAGCTCAGGGTCACGTCAGCAAACATCAGTGATCAATAATCAATCAAGTGATCAATCAACCAACAGAAGACATGTCAGAAAAAGGTTTGGGCTCGGGCTGAACGCTCAGGACCTCCTCTTACGTTTGCACTTGTCGGCCGGGTTGGCGGCGAGGGCGTTGCCGTAGAAGCCTTCCTTGCAGCGGTCGCAGAAGAACCCGTTGGTGTTGTAGATGCACTTGAGGCACTCGCCAGTCTCGCGGTTGCAGTTTCCGACGGCATTGGGGTCGATGTTGTCGCTGCACTTGCAGGCGCGGCAGGCTCGGACCGCCCCGCTCTGACCCAGGGGGTCGCCGAAGAACCCGTCATCACAGAGCTCGCAGCGCTTACCTGCAGACAGGTGAGGTCAGAGGACGGTTACAGTAATGATTAGATGAACGTGCAGATGTTTATCAGACGATCAAACTACTGCTGCGAGTGTTCCTGAGAGGGACACCTGTCTAACCTGCACAGGTGTGGGGTGTTACCTGTGGTTCCTGTGGGACAGTTGGTGCAGACCACCTCTCTGGTCTTGAGGATGACGGCGCAGGTGGCTCCGGCGGGACAGGGACAGGGCTGACAGTCACCTGACGTCCCCCGGGTGGCGTCGCCATAGAAACCGTCTTTACAGCGCTCACAGCTCAAACCGGCTGTATTGTCCTGACAGTCACATGATCCTGGACAGACAGGTAGAGAGTCAATAACCAGTCGGTAACACAGTAAACCAGTCAGTAACCGGTCGGTAACACAGTAAACCAGTCGGTAACACAGTAAACCAGTCAGTAACCAGTCGGTAACCGGTCAGTAACACAGTAAACCAGTCAGTAACCGGTCAGTAACACAGTAAACCAGTCGGTAACACAGTAAACCAGTCAGTAACACAGTAAACCAGTCAGTAACCGGTCGGTAACACAGTAAACCAGTCGGTAACACAGTAAACCAGTCAGTAACCAGTCGGTAACACAGTAAACCAGTAAGTAACCAGTCGGTAACACAGTAAACCAGTAAGTAACCAGTCGGTAACACAGTAAACCAGTCGGTAACACAGTAAACCAGTAAGTAACCGGTCAGTAACACAGTAAACCAGTCGGTAACACAGAAAACCGGTTGGTAACACAGTAAACCAGTCGGTAACACAGTAAACCAGTTGGTAACTGGTCGGTAACACAGTAAACCAGTTGGTAACCAGTCGGTAACACAGTAAACCAGTCGGTAACACAGTAAACCAGTCGGTAACACAGTAAACCAGTCGGTAACACAGTAAACCAGTAAGTAACCGGTCAGTAACACAGTAAACCAATCGGTAACACAGTAAACCAGTCGGTAACACAGTAAACCAGTAAGTAACCGGTCAGTAACACAGTAAACCAGTCGGTAACACGGTAAACCAATAAGTAACCGGTCAGTAACACAGTAAATCAGTAAGTAACCGGTCAGTAACAAAATAAACCAGTCGGTAACACAGTAAACCAGTCAGTAACCGGTCGGTAACCCAGTAAACCAATTAGTAACACAGTAAACCAGTCGATAACCAGTCTGTAACACAGTAAACCAGTTCGTAACACAGTAAACCAGTCGGTAACCAGTCTGTAACACAGTAAACCAGTCAGTAACCGGTCGGTAACCCAGTAAACCAATTAGTAACACAGTAAACCAGTCGATAACCAGTCTGTAACACAGTAAACCAGTTCGTAACACAGTAAACCAGTCGCTAACCAGTCTGTAACACACTATACCAGTCAGTAACCGGTAAGTAATACAGTAAACCAGTCGGTAACACACTATACCAGTAAGTAACCAGTTCGTAACACAGAAAACCGGTCACTAACACAGTAAACCAGTAGGTAACCATTCTGTAACACACTATACCAGTCAGTAACTGGTCAGTAACACAGTAAACCAGTCGGTAACACACTATACCAGTAAGTAACCAGTTCGTAACACAGTAAACTGGTCTGTAACACAGTAAACCGGTCGGTAACCAGTTTGTAACACACTATCCAAATCAGTAACCGGTTAGTAACACGGTAAACCAGGCGGTAACCAGTCTGTAACACACTATATCAGTCGGTAACACAGTAAACCGGTCGCTAACACAGTAAACCAGTAGGTAACCATTCTGTAACACAGAAAACCAGTCGGTAACCAGTCGGTAACACAGTAAACCAGTCGGTAACCGGTAAGTAATACAGTAAACCAGTCGGTAACACACTATATCAGTCGGTAACACAGTAAACCGGTCGCTAACACAGTAAACCAGTAGGTAACCATTCTGTAACACAGAAAACCAGTCGGTAACCAGTCGGTAACACAGTAAACCAGTCAGTAACACACTATATCAGTCAGTAACCGGTCACTAACACAGTAAACCAGTCGGTAACCAGTCTGTAGCACACTATATCAGTCGGTAACACAGTAAACCGGTCGCTAACACAGTAAACTGGTCAGTAACACAGTAAACCGGTCGGTAACCAGTTTGTAACACACTATCCAAGTCAGTAACCGGTTAGTAACACGGTAAACCAGTGTGGAACCAGTCGGTAACACAGTAAACCAGTCAGTAACACACTATATCAGTCAGTAACCGGTCACTAACACAGTAAACCAGTCGGTAACCAGTCGGTAACACACTATATCAGTCGGTAACACAGTAAACCGGTCGCTAACACAGTAAACCAGTAGGTAACCATTCTGTAACACAGAAAACCAGTCGGTAACCAGTCGGTAACACAGTAAACCAGTCAGTAACACACTATATCAGTCAGTAACCGGTCACTAACACAGTAAACCAGTCGGTAACCAGTCTGTAGCACACAGTAAACCAGTCGGTAACACAGTAAACCAGTCGGTAACACAGTAAACCAGTCGGTAACACAGTAAACCAGTAAGTAACCGGTCAGTAACACAGTAAACCAATCGGTAACACAGTAAACCAGTCGGTAACACAGTAAACCAGTAAGTAACCGGTCAGTAACACAGTAAACCAGTCGGTAACACGGTAAACCAATAAGTAACCGGTCAGTAACACAGTAAATCAGTAAGTAACCGGTCAGTAACACAGTAAACCAATTGGTAGCCAATCTGTAACACACTATACCAGTCAGTAACCGGTCAGTAACACAGTAAACGGTCAGTAACACTGTAAACCAGTTGGTAACACAGTAAACCAGTCGGTAAACAGTCAGTAACAAAGTAAACCAGTCCGTAACTGGTCAGTAACACAGTAAACCAGTGGGTAACACAGTAAACCAGTCAGGAACCAGTCGGTAACAAAGTAAACCAGTAAGTAACCAGTCGGTAACACAGTAAACCAGTCAGTTACACAGTAAACCACTCAGTAACCGGTTGGTCACACAGTAAACCAGTCAGTAACCAGTCGGTAACAGAGTAAACCAGTCCGTGACACTGTAAACCAGCCGGTAACACAGTAAACCAGTCAGTTACCAGTCGGTAACACACTATACCAGTCAGTAACCGGTCAGTAACACAGTAAACCGGTCAGTTACACAGTAAACCACTCAGTAACCGGTTGGTCACACAGTAAACCAGTCAGTAACCAGTCGGTAACACAGTAAACCAGTCCGTGACACAGTAAACCAGCCGGTAACACAGTAAACCAGTCAGTTACCAGTCAGTAACACACTATACCAGTCAGTAACCGGTCAGTAACACAGTAAACCGGTCAGTAACACTGTAATGACTGGTTTACTCTGTTACAGACTGGTTTACAGTGTTACTGACCGGTTTACTGTGTTACAGTCTGTAACAGAGTAAACCAGTCGGTAACCAGTGTGTAACACAGTAAACCAGTCGGTAACACAGCAAACCACTCGGTAACCTGTCAGTAACAGAGTAAACCAGTCATTAACCTGTCGGTAACAGAGTAAACCAGTCATTAACCAGTCTGTAAAAGAGTAAACCAGTCGGTGACACATTAAACCAGTCAGTAACTGGTCGGTAAAACACTAAACCAGTCAGTAACCGGTCAGTAACACAGTAAACTAGTCGGTAACCAGTCGGTAACAGAGTTAACCAGTCGGTAACAGAGTAAACCAGTCGGTAACCAGTGTGTAACACAGTAAACCAGTCATTAACCAGTGTGTAAAACACAGTAAACCAGTCGGTAAACAGTAACACAGTAAACCAGTGGGTAACACAGTAAACCAGTCAGGAACCAGTCCGTAACAAAGTAAACCAGTCAGGAACTAGTCGGTAACAAAGTAAACCAGTCAGGAACCAGTCGGTAACAAAGTAAACCAGTAAATAACCAGTCGGTAACACACTATACCAGTAATAAATCAGTCGGTAACACAGTAAACCAGTCCGTGACACAGTAAACCAGCCGGTAACACAGTAAACCAGTCAGTAACCAGTCGGTAACAGAGTAAACCAGTCTGTAACCAGTCTCTAACAGAGTAAACCAGTCTGTAACAGAGTAAACCAGTCATCAACCAGTGTGTAACACAGTAAACCAGTCGGTGACACAGTAAACTAGTAAGTAACCAGTCGGTAACACACTATACCAGTAATAAATCAGTCGGTAACACAGTAAACCAGTCAGTTACACAGTAAACCAATCGGTAACCAGTCGGTAACACAGCAAACCACTCGGTAACCTGTCGGTAACAGAGTAAACCAGTCATTAACCACGTTGTAACACAGTAAACCAGTCATTAACCAGTGTGTAACACAGTAAACCAGTCAGTAACTGGTCGGTAACACAATAAACCAGTCAGTAATCGGTCGGTAAAAGAGTAAACCAGTCATTAACCAGTGTGTAACACAGTAAACCAGTCGGTGACACAGTAAACCAGTCAGTAACCGGTCGGTAACAGTAAACTAGTGAGTAACCAGTCGGTAACACAGTAAACCAGTCAGTAACCGGTCGGTAACACAATAAACCAGTCAGTAACCGGTCGGTAAAAGAGTAAACCAGTCATTAACCAGTGTGTAACACAGTAGACCAGTCATTAACCAGTGTGTAACACAGTAAACCAGTCGGTGACACAGTAAACCAGTCAGTAACCGGTCGGTAACAGTAAACTAGTGAGTAACCAGTCGGTAACACAGTAAACCAGTCGGTAACAGAGTAAACCAGTCATTAACCAGTCTGTAACAGAGTAAACCAGTCATTAACCAGGTTGTAACACAGTAAACCACTCAGTTACCGGTCAGTAACACAATAAACCAATCAGTAACCAGTCGGTAACACAGTAAACCAGTCGGTAACACACTATACCAGTAAGTAACCAGTGTGTAACACAGTAAACCAGTCGGTAACCAGTCGGTAACACAGTAAACCAGTCGGTAACTGGTCAGTAACACAGTAAACCAGTCAGTAACCAGTCGGTAACAAAGTAAACCAGTCAGTAACACAGTAAATCAGTCGGTTACACAGTAAACCAGTCAGTAACTGGTCAGTAATACAGTAAACCAGTCGGTAACCAGTTGATAATACAGTAAACCAGTTAGTAACTGGTCAGTAACACAGTAAACTAGTCGGTAACAGAGTAAACCAGTCATAAACCAGTCTGTAACAGAGTAAACCAGTCAGTAACCAGTCGGTAAAAGAGTAAACCAATCAGTAACCAGTCGGTAAAACAGTAAACCAGTCAGTAATAAGTATTACCTGTCTCGGGGTTACAGGCGTCACTGTGTCCGTTACAGTTGCAGGCCTCACAGGGGCTGAAGGCTCCAAGCTCCGGACGGGCACGCCGGTATCCCAGAGTGCAGTGCTCACAGTGCTGACCTTGGTAACCCTGAGGACAGGTGCACTGCTCGACCCAGCGGGCCGGAATACCTGGACCCCGCCTCGCTGAGACCAGGGAGAAGTCATCAAGGTAACCAGCACCTGGAGAGCACACTTGTTAGCAAACAGTGCTAAACAGTTTATATAGTGTTTGTGTTTATGTGTGTGTTGTGTTACGTACTCCGCTCGCTGTAGGTGCCGCGGATCTTGATGGCGGTCAGGTTGTGGAGAAGTTTCTGGAAGTTGGAGTGGCTGATGGTCGGCCTCCAGGGGTAGTCAGTGCTGTCATGGAGCCTGAACCACAACCAGAGCACCATGTTACAAACAACAACAGCAGCAGCGAGCTGGTAAACAGACCATCAGACCACCTCATGTGAGAAACCCTGCTGTGTCTCACCTGAACACATAAGTCTGCATGTTCTCGTTGGGGTAGGCGTTGCCCTGGGCGATGAGTGGGACAGCCACCCTCAGGTTAGCTCCCTCCAGGACCAGGTCCTCCGCCGACAGCCGAGTGTCCCGCCGGTCAACCCGGAAATTCAGGCTCAGGTTCTGTCCGTAACTCAACATCTGGTTCCCCAGAAACTTCTCTGTGACGCACAAACACACACTGAAGGTCAGTGGTCTAGGTCTGATTCTGACAAGGCTGTTGGATCCAAATATGGTAATTTCCTTTGCACCAGTAACCAATCGTGAAAGTAGAGGCGGAAGTTAAGCTTGAAATCTGACTGGCTAGCTTTTATTTAGCTTTCAGTTGGCTTAAATATTAGTAGGTAAATAGTTGGATGGATTTAAAACGTGTAAAATCTTGCAATACATATATTTACAGGCTGTTTTTCCCTCATCCTGAGCCTGAAATCTAAACTTCAGCAGCTCTTACAGACACCAAACTTTCCCGTTTTACTCCTGACGATAATCTGGAGGGTGGTACAGAGGGGTTTGTTCATATATCATTCACAGCCTGAATTATAGAACATTTTATTCCCAAAAAGAGAAAATTGATTTTTTTATGCCTATTGACAGTATTTTCTGATTTATGAAATAAAGAGATACTTAAAAAAATCTCTGTAAAAACGTTTGAGTCTAATGTGTCAACAAAATAAAACAATAATGTTGAACCTGACTTAATCCAGTGTTCAGATTTCAGTTCTTGAAATAGATGCAAGTTAGCGCATATTTAATAAGAAACTGCCTCATTTGAAAATTTAAGCATAAAACTTCAGAAAACCTGTAATAAACATTTTTTGTCTAAATCTAAGTAATCAACCAGGAAAGTTTCATGGTGATATCTATTAGTTAAATGTGTTTTCACCTATAGTGTTGCGTGGACACGCTCACTTTTGCGGGGACACAAACCTGTATACACGCTCACTTTGCGGGGACACAAACCTGTATACACGCTCACTTTGCGGGGACACAAACCTGTATACACGCTCACTTTGCGGGGACACAAACCTGTATACACGCTCACTTCGCGGGGACACAAACCTGCGGTTTAAGGTTATGAAAGTAGGGGTTAGTCTCCAAGGAACAAATGTATGTGTGTGTGCGTACGTACCTGGGGCTACAAAGTACATGGGGAAGTAGTCGTCTGAGATGAGGGAGATTTCATGTCCGCTGTTGGACCACTGCACGGAGACGCTGGAGCCATCACGCTGCTGACCGGTCCAATGCTCGTCACCTGACACACACACACACATTACAGTACTTTACAGCACACAAACACACACAGCACTGTGTGTGTGGGTAAATTATGTCCCTGCGTCCGGCCTGCAGGCGGCGTTACCTCTTTGGAAGGATGAGCTGATGGTGTGCACGCTGAAGCCTTCGGCGCTGTCGCACACAGACGAGTGCTGGAAGCAGAAGCAGGGGGTGCAGCCCTGAAGGTTGTTGGGGTCCAGGTTAAAGTAACCCAGCTTACACCTGGAGGACACAAGGACGTTAAAGCCCAGATCAGAGCAGCTCCACCCTCACCTCACGCCTTCATCGTCTAATATATGTCACAGTCTGCATTTCACCTCAGGGGTCAGATGCATGAGCGTAAATGTGCCCCTACTGCTGCAAAGTATCTGTATATCTTATAACGCCCCTCTATTTTATTTCTGTTCTTCCTGCCTGCCCTCTTCACCTAATCAAACATGAATCAGTCCCTCCAGGATTTTGCGATGTCGCAATCTCAACTATTCAACAAATCCCCTTGAATTGAGTTCTGACCCATCATCGTCGTTTCCCACAAAACGTCAGCAAACTCACTTCCTTGTTTAAAAGACGCAGCAGACTTGTGTGATACCAACGTCTCAGAAACAACAGCAAAGGGCCGTGAAGACCAGGATCCAGATCTTCTTCACCAAAGCGGGGAAACTGTTCTGCAGAATGTGCAGTATTGTGGTCGAACATAAAGGAAATCGTCTCCTGACAAACATTACATGTACATTTATTCATTTAGCTGACGTTTTTATATATATATCTATATATGTCAGAGGTCGCACGCCTCTGGAGCAACGAGGGGTTAAATGTCTTGCTCAGGAATAACAATGGTGGATGGGTCACAGTGGGGAATTGAACCCGGGTTTCTCACACCAAAGGTCTGCTCCATCACCACCCCAAACACTTTGAAAGACGTTTCGTTACGTGCGGTGAAAAATCACGTGACAACGCATGACGGCGAGATGAGTGCCGCCAAAGGAGCAGGTCACAGCAGGATTATCACAGAGAGATTGAGAGAAACACTAAGATTCAGTAGTTTAGTACAGTTATGTACATAGTTCAGTTCATAGTTCACACAGAAAGCCTGCGTCTAACATGCTTTTAGTGTTAGCTGACAGGAACTGCCATGACGACAACATCAAGTGACAAGAAACACCTCTGCACTCTGCTCATAAAAATGACCCTCTCTCAAAAACTAAAAAAGGTGCACAGTTCAAATGACTTGTGGAGTGTTAACAACTATTTTGTTCATCTTTCTACATTTAAAAATATTTTGGATCAATATGTTTTGTGTTTATTTTGTAGAATTTTATGGGAAAACTTGCTCGATTTAAAAAATTATTTTTATTTATCACACAATTTCAATACTTTTATCAGTTATTATGGTATTATGGTATGGATTGACTTACATAACCTTTTAGCTGAGGTTGTACAGACTTCACTCCAGTCGATCGTGTCTCGTCACAATCAGCAAACACATTTCTCTGCACCTTCTGTCACTTTTTTATTTAATAGCTAAGGATCCAAAACCCGGGCACATAAAGTGTTTCATGTTTAACACGTGGAAAGCAGCTCAGACACCAGATGTCTCTTTGTCAGCCTGCAGCACATCCTCACATATAACCCATCAGAGGGTTAATTGAAAGCTGCTGACAGATGCGTGACGTCACTGAGCAGATGAGCTCGCCCTGTGTGTTTGAAACAGACGACAGCTGCGGAGCGGCTTCATGTATCCGTCGCTGAATGAGCTGCTTACGTTTGTAAAAGGACTGTTTTGTACTTCCCGGACGCTGCTCCTGTCCCCACAGATGGTTTGATGTGTCAGAGGGTTATTATGATTGGAGGAGGTGTCTCTTTATGTGGTTAATGAGGCGTCTGTTACCTGTCGCAGCTGAAGCCCTCCACGTGGTCTTTGCAGCGACACTGTCCCGTGTTGACGTCACACTCCTGAGTGCTGCCAGAGGGCGAGCAAGAACAAGGCCTGACAGAGAGAGAGAGAAGGGGGGGGGGTTATATCTGAGCTGGATGAACACATGATGCGTGTTCATGTCCGAGTTTACAGAAACGACCAAGATGCTGCAGACAGTCATGAGTGTCAAAGTTTCTTTTGTGTTGTTGCCAGCAGGGGGCGCTCAAAGTCAGTGCCTGCAAACAGTCAGCAGCTTCACCTGAAGACCTAAAACACCACAGAAGAAAATAACTGCTGCTGAATCACAGTGTCTCTTTTTACTTTTATATATCTCTGCTGCTGTTCAGTCAACAAACCTGAAGCTGCTGGAGGTGGAGCTAGGCTAACAGTTCCTGTTTCTGTTGCTGGTTGTGTGTATGAACACTGGGAGTAATGGAAAACCAGAGTCACGTTTCTCGTATGTGTGCACACACCTGCCGATTTAAGGTGATTCTGATTTAGAAACTACAATCTAGAAACTACAATCCATCTTCTCATCTGATTTTGTCAAAGAAACGTTACTTTATGGAGTTATTTAGACAACAGGGTTTTGGTATATATGCTTTGAACTATGAATGACTATGACTGACATCTGGGTCAGGTATCTTGTTGTCATTAACTCCCCCTTGCAGCCACGTAGCAGCACAGAACTCCAGTCATTTTTCACTGTGTTTTAGTGCAGCTGGCTGTCTTTACCTGCAGCCACACAGAACTCCAGTCATTTTTCACTGTGTTTTAGTGCAGCTGGCTGTCTGTACCTGCAGCCACACAGAACTCCAGTCATTTTTCACTGTGTTTTAGCGCAGCTGGATGTCTTTACCTGCAGCCACACAGAACTCCAGTCATTTTTTATTGTGTTTTAGTGCAGCTGGCTGTCTGTACCTGCAGCCGGCCTCCGTCAGACTGTGGAATCCCGGCTGGCAGCGGTCACACTTCTCTCCGCTCACTCCTGGTTTGCATGCACACACTCCTCTGTTGTCACACTGAGGAGACTCCGAACCTGAAAACACACCCACATAAAAACACACCGGGCGTCATCAACGTTAACCTTCAACCACGTGCAAACAATCAGCTCCCCATTAACAAACCATTACAAGGCAGAGCTGGTGTAACTGGGACTCAAACAACAGCTGGTCCACATTAACCAGCGGTTTGCTGCTAAAATACCACCAAAACCACAAAGTTCATTCCAGCGGTTTGACATGTTTTCACTTTAACTAGAGCTCATGGACACTTCTATACAGCTGAGAGTAATTCAGGGCAGCATATCGCTGAGCGCTCGATGGGACGTTAGGAGCGAAGACGAGTTATTGCAAAGAACAAACAAAACATTTATTCTGTGCTCAGTAAATATGATGTGTTTAGAACTGAGACACGTTTCACTTCCTTCCTGGTGTGTTTAGTGTTTGTGGGAAACTCCAACATCCGACTGGAAAGTTCATTCTTGATATTGTTAAGAGGACTTTGACTCCGTCTCTAAACATTTTGAGACAAAATGCTGATTCACTTTCTTGCTGATATTTCATGTGAGACTCAAACTGTTTCTGTACGTTCTAGCAGCTGGTTAGCTTAGCTTAGCATAAAGGCTGGAAACTCTGTCAAAAGCTCTAAAGATCAACATGTAGGATCTGGTTTGTGGTGTCAGGGTTTTATATTGTTATATTTCTTGGCCCGGAGCAGCATCTTTCTAGCTAGCTGTTTCCACCCGTTTCCAGTCTTTGTGCTAAGCTAAGCTAATGAGCTGCAAGTGTAAACAGCATTTCCCCCAAAATTTCACACTATTCCTTTTTCTGGAGCTTTTTCTTGCAACTGTATATATACAGCCTCCATCAGACCCAAGGATGGTCATGTGACAGCAGGTGGCGACGTCCACCAAGTGAACAATGAAGAAGGTCATGAGCAACTGTAGAGAGCTCTGGGTTTGTTTCCCGTCCTGAACTCACCGACGATGCTGCAGCCGCAGGGCAGGCAGCGGCCGCCGCTCTGCTCTCTGTAGTAGTTGTCGAGGCAGCGCTCGCAGTTAGGCCCGTCGGTGTTGTCGGCGCAGCCCCTGCAGTGACCTCCGTGACCCGTGGCCCGGTACAGCTCGGCATCGAAGTAACACTCGGAGCTCTTCCCGTTACAGTCGCAGGCTGAGAGAGGGGGAGAGAGAGAGGGTTAATCACAAAGCACTGGGGTCACTGAGCGCCGATTCTCCCGTGCTCAAGTGTTGTAGTAAGATTTTACCACATAAACTCATATTATATAGCAGTAATAAAGTAGAGGCAGTGAAGCTGTAACAGTTCTGTAAGGTCAGTCTCGTTCTAACATGTTTCCCCGAGTACTAACTGAGCTGGACGGAGTGACCAACACCGGACTGTCGGGCTAAATGAGGTGAACGTAGCTGCAGAGTGAGTTTCCTGCGCTGCTGCTGGAGGACGGATTAGCTCGACTGTGGGAGAAACAAATATTCCCCGTTCCCCAGTTAGTCATGCATCTGCACTGCGATGTGAACGTTTAGCCGACAGGAACTACAGCTCCCACAATCCCCCAGAGACGCTCATGACTAATGCTAAGCTACGTAAAAGCCTGGGATCAGTTACTGCCAAGTTAACCGCAATCTGTTGTCTGGCTCAGGCCCGCTGATCTGACTCAGCTGCTGGTATTTTTATTATTATTATTATAACAGATGTACTAGCTGCTAATAGTAGCAGTAGTACAAGTAGTAACAGCTGCAGAGTAACTCAGCAGTAAAGCAGTAGTAGTCACAGTAACGCAGTAGTAAAGCAGTAGTAGTCACAGTAACGCAGTAGTAAAGCAGTAGTAGTCGCAGTAACGCAGTAGTAGTCGCAGTAACGCAGTAGTAAAGCAGTAGTAGTCGCAGTAACGCAGTAGTAAAGCAGTAAAGCTGTAGAAGTCGCAGTAACACAGTAGCAGTCGCAGTAACGCAGTAGTAAAGCAGTAAAGCTGTAGAAGTTGCAGTAACACAGTAGTAAAGCTGTAGTAGTCGCAGTAACGCAGTAGTAGTCGCAGTAACGCAGTAGTCGCAGTAAAGCAGTAGTAGTCGCAGTAACGCAGTGGTAAAGCAGTAAAGCTGTAGGAGTCGCAGTAACACAGTAGTAAAGCTGTAGTAGTCGCAGTAACGCAGTAGTAGTCGCAGTAACACAGTGGTAGTCGCAGTAACGCAGTAGTAGTCGCAGTAGTAGTCGCAGTAACGCAGTAGTAGTCGCAGTAACGCAGTAGTAGTCGCAGTAACTCAGCAGTAAAGTAGTAGTAGTAACTCAGCAGTAAAGTAGTAGTAGTCGCACTAACGCAGTAGTAGTCGCAGTAACGCAGCAGTAACGCAGTAGTAGTCGCAGTAACGCAGTAGTAGTCGCAGTAGTAGTCGCAGTAACGCAGTAGTAGTCGCAGTAACGCAGTAGTAGTCGCAGTAACGCAGTAGTAAAGCAGTAGTAGTCGCAGTAACTCAGCAGTAAAGTAGTAGTAGTCGCACTAACGCAGTAGTAGTCGCAGTAACGCAGCAGTAACGCAGTAGTAGTCGCAGTAACGCAGTAGTAGTCGCAGTAACGCAGTAGTAGTCGCAGTAGTAGTCGCAGTAGTAGTCGCAGTAACGCAGTAGTAAAGCAGTAGTAGTCGCAGTAACTCAGCAGTAAAGCAGTAGTAGTTGCAGTAACTCAGCAGTAAAGCAGAAGCAGTAACGCAGTAGGAGTTGCAGTAACTCAGTAGTAAAGCAGTAGTAGTTGCAGTAACTCAGTAGTAGTCACAGTAAAGCAGTAGTAGTTGCAGTAAAGCAGTAGTAAAGCAGTAGTAGTTGCAGTAACGCAGTAGTAGTCGCAGTAACGTAGTAGTAAAGCAGTAGTAGTCGCAGTAACGCAGTAGTAGTCGCAGTAACTCAGCAGTAGTCGCAGTAACTCAGCAGTAGTCGCAGTAACTCAGCAGGAGTTGCAGTAACTCAGTAGGAGTTGCAGTAACTCAGTAGTAGTCGCAGTAGTAGTTGCAGTAACTCAGTAGTAGTTGCAGTAACTCAGTAGTAGTCGCAGTAGTAGTTGCAGTAACTCAGTAGTAGTCGCAGTAGTAGTTGCAGTAACTCAGTAGTAGTCGCAGTAGTAGTTGCAGTAACTCAGTAGTAGTCGCAGTAGTAGTTGCAGTAACTCAGTAGTAGTTGCAGTAGTAGTTGCAGTAACTCAGTAGTAAAGCAGTAGTAGTTGCAGTAAAGCAGTAGTAAAGCAGTAGTAGTTGCAGTAAAGCAGTAAAGCAGTAGTAAAGCAGTAGTAAAGCAGTAGTAGTTGCAGTAAAGCAGTAGTAGTTGCTGTAAAGCGGTAAAGCAGTAGTAGTTGCTGTAAAGCAGTAGTAGTTGCTGTAAAGCAGTAAAGCAGTAATAAAGCAGGAGTAGTTGCAGTGACACAGCAGTAAAGCAGGAGTAGTTGCTGTAAAGCAGTAGTAGTTGCAGTAAAGCAGTAGTAAAGCAGGAGTAAAGCAGGAGTAGTTTCTGTAAAGCAGTAGTAGTTGCAGTAAAGCAGTAGTAGTTGCAGTAAAGCAGTAGTAAAGCAGTAAAGCAGTAGTAAAGCAGTAGTAGTTGCAGTAAAGCAGTAGTAAAGCAGTAGTAGTTGCTGTAAAGCGGTAAAGCAGTAGTAAAGCAGTAGTAGTTGCTGTAAAGCAGTAAAGCAGTAATAAAGCAGGAGTAGTTGCTGTAAAGCAGTAGTAGTTGCTGTAAAGCAGTAAAGCAGTAGTAGTCGCAGTAAAGCAGTAGTAGTCGCAGTAAAGCAGTAGTAGTCGCAGTAAAGAGATCCAGAGGCAGCCGACTTACGCAGACACTCGTTGGCGTTGTCGGCGGTCGCTCTCCTCCACGGCCGGTCGTTGTAGAACGGTTTGCAGACGTTGCAGTCGTCGCCGTCTGTGTCGTGTTTGCAGTTGCACACCAGGCGTCCTCGGCTGTTCTTCAGACACTCACTGGCGTGGCCGTTACACTTACACCTGACGGCACAGAAACACACCTGTTACACCTGGACCTGTGACGGTCTCAGCAAATAATCAACAGTATCACAAACCTCCGAACACTGTGACACACATGGTTTTAGTAACTCTTCAGTTTCTATCATATATCTGACATGTCCGTGAAAACATTTCCTCTCAGGTTTAACAAGGACACCAGCGGAAGCTGTTCTGTTGACACTGTCTTGGGTTCTGATGTGGTTTTTCCGCTCGGCGGCTCTGAGGGAGGGTTTTGTTAACCTTCCTCGGGGGGGAAGAGCCCCTCACCACAGGATGGGACTTGCTCAGCAGCCACCTTTGGTTATTGTCTCAGGTGTTTCTTGGCAGTGAGCTGTGGAAAAACTGATGAAGAGGCGGAAGACTGAGGCATTAAAGAGGCTGTCAACACCAGCCGCCTCCAGAAGCTTGGAAACCCTGAACTGCAACAAACATAATGTACATTTATTGTACATTATTGTACATTGTAATGTACATTGTTTATATTTTAATAAACCACTTTTAGGCAGGACAGTAAGCTGGTTCACACTCAGCTCTCTGTGTGCAGCTGCATAGCCGTATAGAGGATATAATAAATAATGAATAAACATTCCTTTAGGGGAAAACTTAAAAACTCCGTGTGTGGTTCACAAGCAGCATTCAGGAATTTAATCACTGTTAGATTGTCGTCTGAGATGCTCAACCCCTAGTGTCTGCCTGCACAAGTAGGACTGGAAGTACAACTGGTCCTTCTTTTCTAAATGAACATGAAGTCACCAGCAATCAAAAGCTACCAGACTTTTGCCTGTAGCTTCAGTTAGCTACCAGACTGTTTAAGTTAGCTACCAGACTTATCTTTAGCTTCAGTTAGCTACCACACTGTTTAAATTAGCTACCAGACTTATCTTTAGCTTCAGTTAGCAACCGCACTGTTTAAGTTAGCTACCAGACTTATCTTTAGCTTCAGTTAGCTACCACACTGTTTAAGTTAGCTACCAGACTTATCTTTAGCTTCAGTTAGCTACCACACTGTTTAAGTTAGCTACCAGACTTATCTTTAGCTTCAGTTAGCTACCACACTGTTTAAGTTAGCTACCAGACTGTTATCCTTAGCTTCAGTTAGCTACCAGACTGTTTAAGTTAGCTACCAGACTGTTATCTTTAGCTTCAGTTAGCTACCAGACTATTTAAGTTAGCTACCAGACTTATCTTTAGCTTCAGTTAGCTACCACACTGTTTAAATTAGCTACCAGACTTATCTTTAGCTTCAGTTAGCTACCACACTGTTTAAGTTAGCTACCAGACTTATCTTTAGCTTCAGTTAGCTACCACACTGTTTAAGTTAGCTACCAGACTTATCTTTAGCTTCAGTTAGCTACCACACTGTTTAAGTTAGCTACCAGACTGTTATCCTTAGCTTCAGTTAGCTACCACACTGTTTAAGTTAGCTACCAGACTGTTATCTTTAGCTTCAGTTAGCTACCACACTGTTTAAGTTAGCTACCAGACTTATCTTTAGCTTCAGTTAGCTACCACACTGTTTAAGTTAGCTACCAGACTGTTATCCTTAGCTTCAGTTAGCTACCAGACTGTTATCCTTAGCTTCAGTTAGCTACCACACTGTTTAAGTTAGCTACCAGACTGTTATCTTTAGCTTCAGTTAGCTACCACACTGTTTAAGTTAGCTACCAGACTGTTATCTTTAGCTTCAGTTAGCTACCAGACTGTTTAAGTTAGCTACCAGACTGTTATCTTTAGCTTCAGTTAGCTACCAGACTGTTTAAGTTAGCTACCAGACTGTTATCTTTAGCTTCAGTTAGCTACCACACTGTTTAAGTTAGCTACCAGACTGTTATCTTTAGCTTCAGTTAGCTACCACACTGTTTAAGTTAGCTACCAGACTGTTATCTTTAGCTTCAGTTAGCTACCACACTGTTTAAGTTAGCTACCCGACTGTTATCTTTAGCTTCATTTAGCTACCACACTGTTTAAGTTAGCTACCCGACTGTTATCTTTAGCTTCATTTAGCTACCACACTGTTTAAGTTAGCTACCAGACTGTTATCTTTAGCTTCAGTTAGCTACCAGACTGTTATCCTTAGCTTCAGTTAGCTACCAGACTGTTATTTTTAGCTTCAGCGGTTTTATTTTTGATTCCTCAGTCTGTTAGCTTCAACTTCAGTTAGCTACCACACTGTTTAAGTTAGCTATCAGACTGTTATCTTTAGCTTCAGTTAGCTACCACACTGTTTAAGTTAGCTACCAGACTGTTATCTTTAGCTTCAGTTAGCTACCACACTGTTTAAGTTAGCTACCAGACTGTTATCTTTAGCTTCAGTTAGCTACCACACTGTTTAAGTTAGCTACCCGACTGTTATCTTTAGCTTCATTTAGCTACCACACTGTTTAAGTTAGCTACCCGACTGTTATCCTTAGCTTCAGTTAGCTACCAGACTGTTTAAGTTAGCTACCAGACTGTTATCTTTAGCTTCAGTTAGCTACCACACTGTTTAAGTTAGCTACCAGACTGTTATCTTTAGCTTCAGTTAGCTACCACACTGTTTAAGTTAGCTACCACACTGTTATCTTTAGCTTCAGTTAGCTACCACACTGTTTAAGTTAGCTACCCGACTGTTATCTTTAGCTTCATTTAGCTACCACACTGTTTAAGTTAGCTACCAGACTGTTATCTTTAGCTTCAGTTAGCTACCAGACTGTTATCCTTAGCTTCAGTTAGCTACCAGACTGTTATTTTTAGCTTCAGCGGTTTTATTTTTGATTCCTCAGTCTGTTAGCTTCAACTTCAGTTAGCTACCACACTGTTTAAGTTAGCTATCAGACTGTTATCTTTAGCTTCAGTTAGCTACCACACTGTTTAAGTTAGCTACCAGACTGTTATCTTTAGCTTCAGTTAGCTACCACACTGTTTAAGTTAGCTACCAGACTGTTATCTTTAGCTTCAGTTAGCTACCACACTGTTTAAGTTAGCTACCCGACTGTTATCTTTAGCTTCATTTAGCTACCACACTGTTTAAGTTAGCTACCCGACTGTTATCCTTAGCTTCAGTTAGCTACCAGACTGTTTAAGTTAGCTACCAGACTGTTATCTTTAGCTTCAGTTAGCTACCACACTGTTTAAGTTAGCTACCAGACTGTTATCTTTAGCTTCAGTTAGCTACCACACTGTTTAAGTTAGCTACCACACTGTTATCTTTAGCTTCAGTTAGCTACCACACTGTTTAAGTTAGCTACCCGACTGTTATCTTTAGCTTCATTTAGCTACCGCACTGTTTAAGTTAGCTACCAGACTGTTATCTTTAGCTTCAGTTAGCTACCACACTGTTTAAGTTAACTACCAGACTGTTATCTTTAGCTTCAGTTAGCTACAAGATACCTTTTCTTGAGAAAGTAAACAACTGCTTCCTGGTGAAAAATCACCCTGCAAAGTTTACTTTAAACTAAAATCTCCATGTTTGTGCTGATGATTCAACCAGGAGAGTTTGGGGTTCATCGCTTTGACTGGAGAGGGATCAGGAGTCCTGCTCTCTAAAGACAGGTGAGCTCCCAGGTGAACAAGTTCAGGTAAACCAGGGTGGAGCCAGCAGAGGACAGGACTCCTCAGAACCCCCTCCTAAATAAAATAAAGGTTAACTTGTGCAGCTCGGGCAGGTGCTCCAGCTCAGGACTCTTCCCTCGTCTTCCGCCCGTCACGGCGGTCGGTCCGTCCCATTCCGGTTCCCCTGTAATCCAGCCCTGCCGGCCAGGAATGCCAGGAATGCTGGCTGTGTAATGGAAATCTGCTCCACATTTCAAACAGATTATAGCTGCGGAGGCCGTGCAGCGGCGGCCTGTTCAACACTCCCGTAACGCCTGTCGAAGCCTCTTTTACAGACGTGCAGGAAAAGGACTTCTTATGTGGATTCCTATGGGGGCCACAGGGAAGCGGACCACACAGTGACACATCAAGACCCGCAAAGCCACACAACCGCACTCAAGTCCGTCAGCACGGCTCCCTTTGTCTGAGCAGGTTTCATGAAGCTCGGGCTGCTGAAACTTGTTCACACTCGTATGTAAACATGAAGGCTTCTCTGAGCAGATTTGTTCCGTCATGGCACAAACTGTGACAATATGCGTCGTGTGGCTGCAAAACTGATCAAAATATGAACTAACTAACTTTTAAATGACTTTAAAAAAGGGAACAAAGTCTACTTTAGCAGACATTAAATGTTTTCTTGGCTCTTTACCTTCCTCCCACGGCGAAGTCAGAGATGGCGTAGTAGTAGGACTTGAGGACCTTGGGGTCGTTGAAGACCTCGTCTCCGAACGTGTTGAGCCTGTTCAGGGTCACTCTGATGTCCGTGGCCGTCACCCAGTCCTGCAAAAGACACAACAAGGACGCACCGTTAGCTCAACATGCAAACACATTTAGCAGACGCTGAGTTTTTTATTTAAAGATGGTGAAGACTCCTTCAGATGTTAAAGCTTTCTCAAAGCATTTTCATTTCTTGCTGCGAGCTTGTTTTTCAGAACAGTTTTAACACATCGGCCTTTTCAGAAAGTCCCCAGTTTACTGTTTACTGCAGGACGAGTCAGGAGACGGTGCGACGTAAAGGAATCAGTGGAAGGCTGTTTACACCGTTAGATGGCTGAGCTGAAGCTCACTGCTGTGCTTCGGTTTCCTGAGGGATTCAAAACTCGAGTGACTGTTTGTCTCTTGGACATGTCGCCCCGTTCTCAGCTTCTCCCAGGTTGCACCGCGGGGAGGGCTGGAGGTTAGGTTATACTCTGCAGGCAACTTGTCCTATGGGGAAAAGCCCGTAACACCAAAGATGTCCCGCCCCTCCTGCTGGAGAGCCAATCGTCTGCTTTTTAACAGCTGAGCCGGGAAACATATTAAGCCAATAATGTAAAAGTATAAAACACTTTTTATTTTGGGGCAAAGTCCTCAAACTTTTTCAAATTTCCCTGCTGATTCTAAACACGCAGGTTTTAAGTCCCGGCGAAAGTGCAGTTATTGTTCTCTGGTGGTCGAGAGGCGGGACCTGCCTATAAAGCCCACGATATACTTGCTTTTTACCAACGCGTGGGCGTAGACAGGTGTCGGCGATGCAAACGGCGTTGTTCACATACTGGCCTGCGAACTTTCGTGTAACCTGGAGGATTAAACCTGAATCCACTAGGGGGCAGACCAGGACCGGGTCATCCCTCGCCGACACCGGATTATCTTCCTGGACAACCTTTGCACGTTGTAAACAAACCAAACACGGCGAAACAGAAGGAGGTTGTGATTTTAGTGAGACGACACAACGATCTCGGTAACTGTGGACCGGCTCCAGGAGTTTTACTGTAAACATCCCGCCATAAATCTCCTTTTTTAAGTCGGACCTTCTTCTTCTTCTTCTTCTGCGTTGAACAGCGGTTGGCAAACCAACCGAACACCGCCGCCGCCTGGCTGCTGTGTGGAACAGGAGATCGCCGCTGACCTGCCCGTCAGGTCGACACACTGCCCCCACGTTCATGTGCCGAACTGCATCTCGCCGACGCGGCATCACCATCTGCAAATTAACTTACGTGTTCGACACTCGTCGTTTAAACTTGGTTTGTCTGAAGCGGACTGAACCTTTAAAAAGGTGAAGAACACAAAGTTCAAAGGTTGTTTTCTTGGTGGCAGGTGAAGGTAAAATACTGGAGGTCATTACTGACACAGCAGGGAGGATATTGGATTTTAAAAGTTGACCTAGAGAAAGATCTCAGAACGCCTGAGCGCCGTTAGAGTTTGAGTTGTCAGCTGCTGCCTAAAGTTCCTGTTTCCTTTTAGACAAATAAAAACATTCCCACCGCAGAAACAAATCACCAGAATGCAGGAAATTACAAACTTTTCTCCAAAATAGTGTTTAAATCTCATCTCGTGACTTAAGTTTCGTTGCTAATTAGCAGTGAACACATCACACAGCTGGATTAAAAGTCACCAGAGTTCTGACATCCTGAGGGCAACGTGCAGCTCGTTTCTTTGTTTCTGTCGGGACATTTAACCTCCCTGAAGCCAAGCGGCTGACACAGCTGTTGTGCCAGACATTCTTCAGATATGGAGCTTCTTTGTATCAGCAATCTGCAAACAGGGAGGCGGTTTTGGTTCTCAGCCTGTGGGAAACTCTGAAACAGTGACGCAACTCCATAAACAGACACTCTGTGACATTTTCAGTGAAATGGAATTTAGTTTCTTGGCGCTGCGATGTGAGAATTACTGAAGGACACCTGTTGAGTTCGGAGGATAAAGAAAGTTACTCAACAGCCCGCCCGTGTGAAAGGCCGAAGGCCGGCGATATCAGCAGGAAGCTTATCAGGCGCAGAGCTTTCTACTCTGCAGAGTGACAGCAGCTGAAGACAAAGAGACCTGAACCGGGTCTGAGCAGTGAATAAACGCTAATCCAGATCTGATGTGAACACGTGAACCCCGCTGCTGCAGGGAACTAGTGCTCAAAACTGTCCCGACTTCCAGCCTCTGGAGGAAGCTGGTCAAATATCTGCTGACAGCCTGTTGGCCTGCGGTCAGACAGCAAACCTGAGATTCACCCGGCAGAAATAAAAGAAGGTGGATTAAACCCACCTCCTCAGGAACCCTCTGCCTCCTCCTGGACTTTGCACCCTCACGTTAAATCCTGGTCTAACTGCTGGGAACGGATTTCTGAATCCCTCACCGACAGCTCCGAGCTGTGACTCACCCCGGGCTTTGAAACAGGAAGTCAACCTGTCAGAAGCCGCTGACCTCTTTCTAACCCAGGTCTGACTGTGTGCATCATTAGTTATTATTATAATAACAGTTCTCTTCCGTCGCTGTAAAATGGCCCACAGGCAGAAAACTAACTACGTGCTTTTGTTCTTCCTCCCTACCACAACATTTTAAAGATGGGAGAGGACAGTGAGGGGCCGTCAGACAACACCACTCGGAGACAATGCTCGGGACACTTTCCCATCAGTCAGCAGCCCCTGGCTCCTCCGTGGCCCCCGGTGGGCTCTCACGGAGCCCAATTCAAGCACATTTATGATGCATTTCCGAGCTGAGAAGGACAACACAGATCAGACTCCCTCTCACGAGCCGCGTTTCCATCAGCGCACATTTTGAAGTATGGCGTTAGAAAAGGTTGATGGAAACGGCAAAATAAAATCACCATTTCTTCCGCTTAAAACTCGCATGACAATTAGATGGAAACATGGCTACAGTGACTTTCATTTTCTTTCTGGACACAATTTCACAGATCAGCTAACGTAGCTCAGCCAAGCCGGTCAAGGTCGTCTCCTCCTGATCGTGAGGTCAAGCTTCAGGCGCTGTTGGACCCGTTTTTGTGACCTTGATATCAGACTTGTCTACTGGGGATTTAAATTAGCAAATCAAAGTAAAAGTAAAAACTCTGCTGCCCCTCTCTTCTCTTCCTGACAGTTTGGTCAGGAATCAGAAAACGTGGAAGCCGCAGTCTGCTGCAGAACTCCGATGGAGGTTCAGTTTTGGCTTGCGCCCCGTTTCTGGTTCTGATGAGGGATCGTTATTGTGGAAAACATTCTGCAGCTGCGTTCTCAGCCGGTCAGTTATGTGCAGAAAGCTTCCTGCTGCAGTGGGAACCGCCCGACTTTCTCTCTGTATGATTCATGATGAATAAACTCGTACGCTCCGTCCGGCAGCTGCGGCGCTTCAGACCGCTCGGGTCCAGGAAGCTCGTGCAGCTTCAGCGCTGTTTAAACTGTACACAACATTTGCTCGCCATCAATCAGCTGCAGCTCTGTGCCGGGCTGTCAAACCTCCAGCTGGGCAGCAGCAGACTGCACAAACACACGGCGGACCGTGTACATTTACTGCAGTACTTTTCACTGCACGTCAGTACATGTACTGCATTTACTTTGTAGATTAAAGGGTAAAAACCGCAGCCGCACTACACAGCGACACAGAAACGTTTCTCGGTGTGTCCTTGTCAAATAATTTGTGCAAGGAGTTTGGTGACATGGTGGCAAGTCACGGGTTAGCAAGATAACCGGTGAAGGTGAGTTTATACTTGGTAGCAAGCGAGGCAGCTTGGTTACTAACTGGAGAGTACACAAACACGATTAACTGAAGAGACGTCAGACGTTCTTTATAACACCGCTCCCATAGAGAGACTAAGTCACTCGCTTCTGCTCCGGCCCATCGGACCTTACTTTGGGATAAACGAGAGACAACTTATTTCTTCATCCTATTTGAACCGTGCCCTGAATTATGATGTTTATCAATTTAAAATGTTATTTTGTCCGTCAAGAAACTGCCATTTTGTCGTAAAACAGTAAAGTTACATGTCGTTTTGTGTGAAAACCACTCAATGAACTCTCTCTCTCATCTCCCACAACATTCGTCACCAACATGTTTGCGCGGTAATGCTAAGCTAACGTTGCTTGCTAAATAACTCAGCTATGTTCCACGCAGAAATCTCTCTCAGCTGACATGTTTGATCCAACGACTCTCGGCCCTTTTATCACATCAGCCTCTCATTTAAGTTCTTTGACGTTAGCTTCAGTCAAGTTAGCTTCAGTCACGTTAAGTTCATTGACGTTAGGCTTCAGTCACGTTAGCTTCATTAACCTAAGCTTCAGTCACGTTAGCTTCATTAACCTTAGCTTCAGTCACGTTAGCTTCATTAACCTAAGCTTCAGTAATCTTAGCTTCATTGACGTTAGCTTCATTAAGCTTAACTTCTGTGACGTTAACTTCATTAACCTAAGCTTCAGTCACGTTAGCTTCATTAACCTAAGCTTCATTGACGTTAGCTTCATTAACCTAAGCTTCATTGACGTTAGCTTCATTAACCTAAGCTTCATTGACGTTAGCTTCAGTAACGTTAAGTTCATTGACGTTAGCTTCATTGACATTAGCTTCATTAACCTTAGCTTCATTGATGTTAGCTTCAGTCACGTTAGCTTCATTAACCTAAGCTTCATTGACGTTAGCTTCAGTAACGTTAAGTTCATTGACGTTAGCTTCATTGACATTAGCTTCATTAACCTTAGCTTCATTGATGTTAGCTTCAGTCACGTTAGCTCCATTGATGTTAGCTTCAGTCATGTTAGCTTTATTAAGCTTAGCTTCCTTGATGTTAGCTTCAGTCACGTTGGCTTCATTAAGCTTAGCTTCCTTGATGTTAGCTTCAGTCACGTTAGCTTCATTAAGCTTAGCTTCCTTGATGTTAGCTTCAGTCACGTTAGCTTCATTGACGTTAGCTTAGAGAAAAGGTTCACATCACGTATGCGACTTTTGGCTTTTGTGGTAACTACGTATTTTCACAGTCTTATACTTCAACAGTTTTACATCAAACTGCGACTTTCTTGACTTAAATGTTTTAAACTGAAACGTGTGTGTGATTCAGAGCACAATTCAAACGGGGTCAAAAACTTTGCTGTCTCTCGCCGTTGACTACCGTACAATATTTTTTTCCCCCGGCTCTTTGACGATTGTCAGAACTGTCGGGACTATTTCACAGTTCGCTCGTGTTGTTGCTGTTGGAGTTTTAAGCCTCTGGTGAGCGTCTACACGTTAGACTGATCCTGCTAACAGCTACTGCAGGTGCTACTGAGCTGGTCAGAGTAACCATCTTTCATCAAAAGGAGCAGATTAATCGCTTTCAGTAGAAATGACCCGCTTCTCAAACGTGAATACTTTCTGCTTTCATTAAGACCTGATGACAGTAAAGTGAGTATATTTGGGTTGTGGACAAAACGAGACGTTTCAGGACGTCATCTTGGTGCTTTGAGGAACACTGATCGACATTTTTTTAAGTGTGCATTAGTGAGCATACAGAAAATCTAAGTACCGATAAATCAACGTTTGGGTTTAAACAGTTTTCCACTCATTAAGATTTTGCAGTTCTTTAAAGGAAATTGCAACCTTTTTGTTTTTTATCCAGCTTTATTGCCAAAACACGTGTCATTGGAAGATGAAGACGTGGTTTTTGGATTAAAGAGCAGCAGACCATGATCCACTGTACTGTTTTATTTTATTTTAGATGTCACCATGTTTTAACACGGCCCTACACTTAATTATATGTTGCGTGTTTAGCATGAAGGAACTTACACATTCTGTTTGACTGATAAACTACCTTGAAATTCCTCTTAAACAAAACAACTGAATATTTTTCTGAAACCTTCACCATAATCAGTGGGTGCTTTATAAGTGTCTCCTTTTCTCTATTAACTGGAACCAAATCCAGACTTTTAAAAGGGCGAGTCTTCAGAAATGACTCTTTAAATGAAGCTTCAGCCGGCTGCTGTCTGCAGGTCGGCAGCGAGCTGAAGGGTTTGATAGTTTGTGAAACGTCCGACTGACAGAAATCTAAAGATCTAAAGTTAAGATGTTACTGTGAAGAACAAACTGCTGCACACGTTTGATTTCGATGAAAAACCGGCGCTGCTGCGTGACATGAATGTGAATCTGTCGGACTGAACAGGACGTCGTCATCTGAACGGGTTTCTTTAAATCCTGGATGTTTTCTCTCTTCGGCCTTAAATATTTATAATAATGATGTAAAGTGAGACGCTGAGAGGCCGAACTGGACTCACAGATACTCGACACCGCCGCTTTATTTTAAGGGGTCACAAGCCCAAAAGGTTTCGACCCGCAGCTCCAGAATAAAACAGAGCGGCGGCCGGTCGGCAGCCACGGCGACGGGCTCAGCTGGTGGGTGTTTCCCCCTCAGAGATGACAGACAGCAGGAATACCAGAGAGCGACAAACAGCCGTCTGACGCCTCCGACGGGCCGCCGACCCCGACGAGTCCGCGGCTTCGGTATAAATAGCTTCATGCCGACAAGTCAAATAAGGAAGTTTAGAGCCGAGCTGCAGCTAAATCTGTTCATTTCCACAGAGAGGGGAAGGAAAGACACATCAGGGAGGACGCCGCCCTCCTCGTTATAAAAAGGATTCAGTTATGTTGTGTCGAGGAAAACAGCCAACAGGCTCCGAGTATATTTATTTATATTTATATATTTATATCGGGCGCCGAGTTTAAAAATAGCGTTCGTTAATCTGACGTCATCCAGAGCAAAGTTCAGGTGCTGGTGTTTCTCGATGCAGCACTGAAGAATCCAGAGACCGCTTCAGTCCAGAATCTAAACTACATGAAGAGGACCTGAGTCCTGAATCCTCTCAGAGCGTCTCCTCCTTTTTTTTTGAAGTTTAACCTGAGCGGAGGAAACAGAGAGCGGTGAGCAGAGGAGGAGGAG